CAGTGGGCTCCTAAATTGTCTTACTGCCTCCATCCTTGCCCACTTAGTGTCTGTTCTCAAAATAATAGTGGTCTGCCAAAACATAATTAACATTTTGTCATTCATCTGCTCAAAATCCTCTCATTCACTCTAATTAAAATCCAACGTCTTTGGGTGGTGTTAATGATCTTACTTGATCTTGCCCCTGTTTCCTCTCAGACCTCTTTTGGTACAACTTCCTCCACTTTTGTTCATGCAGCTACAGTCACAGCTCTCTCTTCACAAGAAAATTCCCATGCATGTGCCTTAGGCTGCAACACTCTTCTTGCGGATATGTACAATGTCTACTTCCATGTGCAACTGAGCTCCTTACTCAAAGGTACTTCAGAGATTCTTTTTAGCCCTTATATCTAAAATTTCAACAGCCTCGCACACAACCAAAATATTATATTCCCCTTCCCTGCGCTATATTTTTTTTCCTCCTTAACACTTATCAATAGCTAACGTGCAATATATCTTGCTGGCTTCTCAGCCCTTAGTGCAGTGCCTGCCACATGATAGGCACACTCAATAACTATTCCTTAATTTCATGTGACATGTTATAGTGAATGTTACTGTAGTTATAAGTAGTTATAAACTAACTATGTTGGACTTAAAATATATAAATAAAAAATAATTTACCTATTAAAAATGTTGACTTACTTTGGATATGAGCTTCTGTAGTGATTCCTTTACAATACTCTGCAGCATTATTTTTAACACAATTGCCATTTACTTTAGCAAGTGTCAGATGTTTTGTTACTTTTTTTTTACCATCTTATATTGCTACTTAAAGAAGAGGGACCAATACTCCCATTTGTATATAGTGAAATGTTTTATATACCAAAGTAAATATTTAACTATATATATAACCATCCATATCTTTTTGCAATGCTATTAGACAGTATTCAGCTATAGCAAGTGTGTCTGTGATATATTAGGCAAAGAATATCTTTCATGATGTAAATAAGACATATTAATATAGTTTCTTTTCATTCTGAAAAATAATGCTTATTCACATATATTTTCCTTCATATTTACATGATCCAAATTTGGCCAAACAGCAATATTCCCTTGCTAAAAATATTACTTGAATATTTTGAAGTAATATTGAATGCATCAAGTAAATTCAGAACACATTGCCAAGAATAGATGCAAGTTGAATTTATTTGGAAATGAAATCATTTAAAATACCTGCTGTGAGACAATCATTAGTGCATAGTAAGCTGTGGTCTTGGTTCAGTTTTGCTCACAGTACCCAACTCATTATAAATTTACCCGTATTTTCTTTAATTCGATAGCATTTACCCGTCCCCATCATCCCTGTCTTTAAAAAGAAGTGAACCACAAACTTTTGATTATGATCTTGTAGCCATAGAAAACTTGGAAAATATAATCACAATTTAAAATTAACTCTTTGTCTTTAGGTTGAAAAAAATGCTTTGAATTGCATACCTTCTCTTAACCACAGGTGATATTTCATAACTTTAAAGTACAGTTTCAAAAAAAGGGTACTTTCAAATAATTTTCCATGCCTTCATTCAGCAGGTAACCCAAACCTTCATAATCCCCAAATGCTGCACTTCAAAGTTATGCTCAGGAAAAAAATATTGAAAAGAACAGCCTCTCTTTCCAGTTGATTTAAAACATCACTAGCTTATTTTCAGTACACATATGGAGTTACTTTTAAAAAGAAATCTTGGAATATTGCCAGGCTACATACAGGAAAGGCTTTTCTCCAGAGAGAGCTAAAATTCATTATCTGAGCTTTGGGACACCCATGTTCCTTCAAAATTTGGACACATCTTTGTTCCTCCATGATTAGTGCTAGAAGTTTGACTTAAAACAAGAGTGTGTAACCAGACTCTAAAGAATCCGAAAGATTATGTTATTTTGAATTGAAACTGATTTATAATTATACACTTAAATAAAATATTATTTACAGGTTTAACAGTTTTAAAATAAATGATGGAGTAATTTTTTTTTAAATCTAAAATTATTTACAAAAGTATAATACCTATTATGTGTTTGTCAGTAACATGAAATTAAATTTTGGACACTTTATCTTCTTTCTCTCCTCATTAAATGGCTGGCTTCTCTCATTTAAATCCATGTGAATATTTTTTTTGTAGGAGAAAAATCACTAAGTCCAAAGAAGCTAAAGCAATATAATTATTTCGTTAGTGACCAATTCATGGTAATAAGTATTTCAAACAATCCCATCTATTTTTGATGCATAAAGTAAATTTTTAAAAGTGGGACAGTGTTATAAGTTAAAAGAAAAAAGTAAAATCAACACTTTATTTTCAGTAACAGTCTGTAACATTCCATTGTAAAATATTATGCAGTAATAATTATTCACTAGACCACTTCTTATATATGGTTCCAATGCATGTAACACATTTTAGTTTCCTTTTTTATTTTCGGTAAAAGAGTAAAATCAAAACCCTCATAAATGTTGATGAAGAGCCTATCGATACAAAACAAAATTAACATGTACTAATATTAAGCCAATTATGTAGCCACAGAACATGATTTCTATAAGATATACAGTACCTTATATGTGCAAAGCATCCATAGCATTGAACAGATGTGAAGCAGAGCATTAGCTTTAAAATATCAATTCTACGCACAAGAAAGAATAGGTGTATTTTGTTGCATGTTGAATAGGAAGCAGAGTTTTGTTTATCCCCATATTTATTTAGTCAGAAAGAAAGGTGTAGAATTCCAGAAACTGCTTGAATGAAGGAAGAGAAAAGTTTGGCATGTAGGGAGTGTATTTTATATCACATGTGAGCATTACTACCATAGATGTTTTTAACCACTTTAATTTTGCCCACAAAAAAGACCTGGACACTTTGCGCATCTGCATAATTTGATAACATTGGGTATTATGAACTTCATGATGAATTACTCAAATGGAACCAAAGCACACGTTCTATTGAAAAGAGTCATGGTGGAGCCAGAATGGGATTACTTTTGTAACATGAATTAGAACACTATGCACTGCGATGTATCAGTGATAAGTCTAGCATATTTCAGTTCTACTGCTATTGGAGAAATGAATCGGAATCACTTGAGCATCACAAATCCTAGGCCATATTTTTATTTCCAGCCTTACCCTTTGTGTTGCTTCCAAGTATGCAGCTCCAGTTGATTTCAAAGGCAGCGGATGAGAGATAAGGAGGAGCAAGGACTGTTCTACCTCAGCAATTCATGATCCCTCGAAGGCCACTGATTTGGAAAGAATAGGGAGACCCTGGCCTCTCAGCAGAATAGAACCAGCTACTCTCTGTATGCTCCTCCCATGAGGCAACTCAAGCATTTATCCAGTTTACCATAGCAAATGATTCTCTACGTCCAGAAAATTACAGCTCTCTTCCTCTCTTCACTCCAAGGACCCATAAACCCTAAATTAAACATAACTGTCCAAAGAATTATTTTCAGCTATGTGAACATTTCAACAGGGAAATAAATGAAACTATGTGATTTGAATAATTGTAGAATATTAAATAGAACAATATTTTTTAGCAGTTTACCATCACTTATTAATTTTTACATTGTGACTTAAAAAATGCTTTATGGGTCTAGGGTAAAGTTGTATAGTATATTGCTAAAACATGTGTGTTTCTGTTTCTAAAATGGTTAAAGCTTTCTGAGTAATATTTCTTTCATGTTCTTTATACATAAATCCCTCTTTTCCCTTTGAAGATATTCTTCATTTCCATTTAAACAGAGTGTGTATGTATATACACATTTAAAGGACTCATCTCATTCTAATAGTCTAACGATATGTTTTGGTGTCCAAAATACTTTTATAGTTGTGGTGAGACTTTCCTAAATGAATACTTACAGTTTTGAAAAAGGTATTAATTGAACTATCACTTTCTTCAAAAGCAGTAACTAAAAGCTATTGAAAGGAATAAGTTAGAGTAGGACAATTTACATATATGTACAAAAGTAACTAAGAAAGCTTACCATGTTCAGTCACTATACTGTTATTATACACATCATCCCATTTAATTGTTGCAACCTTGTGAATTAAGCATTATTTGGTCCATTTTACAGATATTGAATGAAAGGATTATATATAAATTACTCAAGATTACAGATGGGGCAAAACTGGAGCTTGGACTCAGATCTATCTGAACTGAAAATTCTGCTTTTGACTGTTTTATCCCCTCTATGTCCTACTGGTACCATGTTTTTGAACTGGAAAAATTTTAAGGTTTGATTTCTAGGTAAAGAGGATGTGTTTTAGGATTGTGCTTGTTCAACAAATGCTCATTTCATTGGATTTATAAGATATATTTTATTTTGAAATTATTGAATCTCTTTTGTGTGTCAGTGGTGATTTGAATGCAAACTAAGATAACTAGCTTGTGATCATGGCCCTAGCAGAGTCAACCCTATACAGCAGAAGTCAGCAAACTTTTTCTGTAAAGGGCCAGATGGTAAATATTTTAAGCTTTTGGGGTCATACAGCCACTCAACAGTAATTGACTCTGTCATTTTTAGCATGAAATTTGCCACAGAAAATCTATAAGTAAATGAGCATGGCTATGCTCTAATAAATCTTTATTAAGGACTCTGAAATTTGAATTTCACATCATTTTCAGGTGTCGATAAATATTCTTTTTTTCATCTCTTTCAACAATTTAAAAATTGTGGGAATCTATCTTTGCTCCCAACCCACACAGATATTGGGATGGAATTGGCTGGCAAAACAAGGTCGGGCAATTTCTGTTGCTGCTTTGTGAACACAAAAGCCACTGGCCACATGTTATTGAGTACTTAGCTAAGGCTATTGAGTACTTAAATTTAGCTAGAACAAATCGAGATGTGCAGTAAATGTAAAATACACACCAGATTTTAAAGACCATATAAAATGTTTAAATGTCTCATTTATAATTTTATGTTGATTATATTTTGAAATAAGATTTGAAATTAATAAAATATGTCATTAAAATTAGATTCACCTATTTTTTTTGCCTTTTCCTAACATAAGTCCCAGAAAATTTAAAATTACATATGTATATCACATTTGTTTCTAAAATGATGCTTCAGAGGTAACATTATCTGGAGGTCAACAGATACTTACTATATATTTGTGACAATGTAATGATTTCTTAGATATTGAAGTGGGATAAAAAGGTCATTAGATAAAAATGTTTAAGACTTGATCTAGTGTTGAAAGTAGAAGAAATATTTTCAGTATAGAAAAAGAACCAACACATTTAAGACACAAGTATGTTTGTTAGCAGTGTATGTCTGTGGAGTTGAAAGCCATTTCAACTAAGATCAGATTACAGTTTTGCTTTTAATGTTAAGAATTGTAAATTTTATCTGAAAAATGAAGTCAATGACAAGTGTTAGGTAGGGGGTGGACACTGTAAGATCTTCAGGGAATGTGGTAGGTCAGATGGTTGGAGGGAAATAGAGAGAAGTCTCATATTCTGCCATTGGGTGAACTACAATGTCACCTGAAGACAAATAAAATGCAGCACTAGAAAATTTTATCTCCTTTGTATGCTATTTACCTGCATACTTGTCTTGTGGTGGATGGTGTATGGATAAACTGAGACAATGGGGAAAAGTTCAATTTGAGACCACAGAAACTTAACAATCAGATAGTAATCATTTTTCTGATATGTCGACATTTCAGCTTAAAACTCAAGATGGGTCATAGACTGACAGATTTGGAAAACTGCAAAATAACTTACAAATTGGGAATCAACCACTTCACAGACACTTGAATCCCTGACAAGCATGCATGCCAAATTGGCATCCTTGTTAAGACTGAACATTTTCGGTAACAGTAAGTCTATCACCTCTTCCATAGAAAGTCATTTATGACTATTAGAAAGTCATTCTTTAGGATTAAAATTAAAATCATGAACCATTTAGTATCTTTCCACAAGCAATACCACCACCACATTTAATTTCAAAAATCCCAATTAGTTATTATATTTTCCAGTGATTGTTCTGCTGTGTGAATGAGGTAACTCCTTGATTATTAGATGTTCCCAAGGACAGAATTGTTTACTGGAAGAGTGATCAAAAAGTGTAAAGCTGTATAAGTAAATTTTTCATTATAGTAAGCGAGAGAGAGAGAGATCATGATTTCAAATGCCAAGGGCACATCTCTGCCAGGAATATCCTGCAAGTACTTCCAGACCGATATGCCAACCAATTTTTTTCTTCTTCATCTGAAAAAACTGATATTCCTTTCCTTTTTTATTGCATTGTTTAATGAGAAAAGCATGTCCACCCAGCATAGCAAGTTGGAAGAAGCCTGTGTCATGTGTGTCATTTTGCTTTGCTAATAAACTAACAAAAAGTAAATACTGTGCTTTCAAATCTTTTTCAATTCCTTTCTGACTTTGTGCAAACATTTTCTTATTTTCTAATTGTTTTCATAGTCTTCATTATCTCCTTGCACAGATCTGAGTTTTCAGTCTTTCTTAGTGTACACCTTCTTGTTGCTCATCATATGGTCTTCAGGAGAGGTTTTCCAATACATACTCTTCAGATCCAATGGTTTCTGTAGAGGGCAGTGCTTTCCAAGGCAGAGAATTGCATAGAGAGGGAGGGAGATCCACCTTCCAAGCTTATCAACTCTATTTCGATAAGTACAATACTTGTTAGTTTCTTTTTTGGCCACATAAGTAAGATTTTCTTTGATTAAAGTAGTTCCACTGTTATAGAAACTTGGCCAAATATTTCAGTCTGGCTTCAAAATATTTACCAACTTAATTTCCTTCTTCTTTCACACCTTTTGCAATGAATTTGCAACATATAGTAAAATGGAAGATTCTGTGAAGAAAAAAATATAAAAGATTTGAAATGCAGAATTTACTATGGGACAGTTATGAGTTTTGCAACTCCATGACTATTGGTCAGATGAGGGAAATAAGGAAAGGTTATGGTTGAGAGAGGTTATGGTTCACATCTTTGATGTGAAATGAACAAGGCGGTTATTGCACTTTCCAAAAGAGAGGACTGAGGGATACTATAACCTTACCTTATGTCTTATGAGCAGGTACCCACAGAACTGTGGAAAGCGTCCGATATGCACCTCTAAACCTAGGTGAGATCAGGGAGAGTATACTGATGTCTGACTCATCCTGAAGAAAACAGCAGGAGAGAACGAGTGGTAGTAAAAAATAGGACTTGGCTCCACCATTGAATCCTACCTTGGAAAAAGGCTGGTCCACAAAAAGATCGCACAGTAAGCCAGAAGTAAGACTGGATTAGAGACAAGAGTGTTGCAGAGTTTGTTCCCTGAAGGTGGACTTTGAATTTCCCCAAAGCCCCTCGTAAAGAAAAAAAGATCATCTTAACCAACCCCAGGCTCAGAGAGGGTGAAGCCACCCAAAAATGAAAACTCTGTTCCATCCCCAACCACTTCGCTGTCCTCCCACTTCAACTTTACAATGAGAACCAGAGGAAGTGAATGAGGGGAGTAGGCAATGAATATCCACTTCTTCTGGAAAGACATCTTCAATTATAGAGCTTATTGTGTCTTAGAGAAGAGAAAAAGCATTAAGTTTGACTTAGTAAAATGTTGAATAATATAAGGGGCTACATGCATTCTAATTACTGAATTGAGGCTCTAATCTGGAATTTAAAACCATTTTAGGACTTTTGCTAAAGAGTTAGCAGCAATACCAGAAAAATTCTGTATTTGATCACAGCCTATAAACTATGGATTTAGCCAGCATTTATTTAAAGTGTGTTTCAGTCACACACACTTTTATGCACGTATACACACATTCATACATCATTCACCTTTTAGACACTATATTATGCATTTCTATATTTTCTACAACTGTTCTTTGTATATACTGTTTATTGACTTCAAATAAGGCATCAAAGTGCTCCAAAATCCAGCTGTACCTTCACTTCCTACATAAAGGACCCTTGCTTCCCAGAGAGGCTGTCTCTGTCATCAGGATTCTTCTGAAAGTTGGGATGTATTTTATCAAAGCCAGTACTACAGATAAAATTCTGAAAGGAATAGTGTGTGCTGCCTGTTCTCTGGAAGCTCACAATTGAGTGGGATTTGTTTGTGAAATATAAAGAGACTCAGGAGAGGAAAAAAAAATCCACTGTTTTAATTTTTTATTTTCTTATTTCCCAAAAAGTGAATCGCAAAACGTGCCTACAAAAATAAAATGTGTACCTGATTTAACTTCAGTTCATTGCAGTTTTTCTGACTGGAAAAAACTTTTTCTTCCTCTCTCCCCTGGATGGGCCAAAAGGAAAAACAATGAGCTTAATTTTCCACAAAAGATGAGGGAGGGGGAAAAATTAAGGCATTTCAAATATAGCTAATAAATCCCTATTAATATTCCACTTCTTGAACAATCAGATATTCTTTAGCATAAATAATATAGAGCATGATTACAATAGCTACCACAATAATAACAATAGTAACAATTTAAGCTTTTATAAAAACCTTTTTTCAAATAGTTAAACTACTTTGGTATGTAACAATAAGCAAAATTTAGATCTGAAAGCAATGTGACGTGTTCCTTAATTTTTAAATCTTCATTTCCTTTTTAAATTTTTCATACGTATGATTTTTTTTTGTTTTTTTATGCATTTATCCCATTTTAATCTCATTATTTTATTTAAAAAATTTTGTTTTCAAATGTCTATTTATTTTTGAGAGAGAGAGAGAGCAAGTGGGGTAGGAACAGAGAGAAAGGGAGACATAGAATCCAAACAGGCTCCAGGCTATGAGCTGTTGGCACAGAGCCTGATGTGACACTCGAACTCACAAACCATGAGATCATGACCTAAGCTGAAGGCAGAGGCTTAACCAATTGAGCCACCCAGGTGCCCCAAATCTTGCTATTTTAGAAACTCCTATGAAGGTCTACTTCCAAAGTTGAGGATAATAGTTCTCTGTCTAAATTGTACATATTTATTGTCATTTCTTTTCTAAACCAATGTTAATAAACGCAAAAATTTGTTCACACAGGAATATCATGAAGTTAAAGAAGAGATTCCTGTATCAGTTTATTTTAGGATTTGCAGTTTGAAATATGCCAGACTCTCTTGCCTTTACTGGGACTATTGAGGAGTTGTGTGTTTTACAGTTTTTATTTATTTTTGTTTTAAATCACAGTGATGTTGTTAAGCATACCAGGTTTGCTCCATTACAAGGAGAAATCCTTGCAAGTGCCACAATAGTCTGGAACATTCTGAACAATGCAACAATCTGAGATGCCTAAATCTACAAACCGTAAATAATAAATTAAACATTAGATAATTGACCTAGAGGTATTTTAGTGTTTTGTTTATTAACTGCCCCCTGGGGTTGATTCTGAGTATCAGAGTTAGAGGTGAAATATGGTAGAGGACATGTTTATAAATCTTCCTCAAAACATCTGTTTCCTAACAAATAACTTAGTTAAGAAATGGGCAGAAGACATGAATAGACACTTTTCCAAAGACATCCAGATGGCCAACAGACACATGAAAAGATACTCCACATCACCTATCATCAGGGAAATACAAATCAAAACTACGATGAGATGCTACCTCACACCTGTCTCCATTGCTAAAACAAACAACACAAGAAACAACAGATCTCGACGAAGACGTGGAGAAAGAGGAACCATCTTCCGCTGTGGGTGAGAATGCAAACAGGTGCAGCCACCGTGGAGAATAGTATGGAAGCTCCTCAAAAAACTAAAGCTAAAACTACCCTACAATCGAGCAATTGTGCTACTGGGTGTTTACCCAGAGGCCACAAAAATACAGATTTGAATGTTTATAGCAGCATTAGCAACAATAGCCAAACTACAGAGAAAGCTCAAATATCCATTGACTGATGAATGGATAAGAAAGATGTGGTATAGATATACAATGAAATATTGCTCAGTCATCAAAAAGAATGAAATCTTGCCATTGGCAACAGTGTAGATGGAAATGAAATAAGTGAATTAAGTGAAATAAGTATTATGCTAATTGAAATAAGTCAAACAGAGAAAGACAAATACCATATGATTCCACTCATATGGTGAATTTAACAAACAAAACAGATGAACATTTGGGAAGTGGGGGAAAGAGGAGAGAGGGAAACAAACCACAGGAGATTCTTAACAATAAAGAACAAGCCGACGGTTGATGGAGGGACGTGAGTGGGGAATGGGCTAGATGGATGATGGGTTCTAAGGAGGGCACTTGTTGGGATGAGCACTGGGTGTTGTATGTAAGTGATGAATCACTAAATTTTACTTATAAAACCAATATTGCTCTGTATGTTAACTAGCTAAAATTTAAATTTTAAAACTTATCTTTTTTCTAATTAATAATAAATACTAGATAAAAATATTAATTGCAGTATAATGAAAATTATAAGAAAATAATGTTTAGTATTATCTTTGCAGAATATTTCATAAATATTTTCATTTGCAAATATTAGCATTGAAACTTAAGGCACTCTGGAAATGTATTCAAAGACTTTTTAACAGTTACACTCTTTTTGAATATGACTAATATAAAATTATTAGAACTGATATAAAGCGTGCCCTTCCAGAAAAATTAGATTTTCCTCTTTAATTCATTTGAGCAGTTTTTGTTTAAATGATTATTCTATAAACAGTGCTGATCTTTTTTTTTTTTTAATCACACACACACACACACAAAACCCTACACACTAGAAGTCTATTGCTAAAAAGATGTTATGTCACATTGCTTGTCAGGGATTTAAAAACAATTAACTAGTATAGTAGTATAAAGGAGATGTTTGAAGATATTAA